TTTCTTCATTAATCTGGAGTTGAGATCTATTTTATCATATTGAGAACTATCCATCTGCCATATTATATAGAGAAGTTTTATTCAGAATGTATATTGGGTTTAGGTGCTGTCAGCTTGATTCAAGTGCCTCCTGAGTATGGTTGTAGGAAACACAAAACTTTACCCTTGGAGTATATCTGTAAATAATCATAATAATATAAAAAACAATTAAATCTGACCTTGAATCCAGTGAAACCTCTAGACCAGTGGTTCTCAACCAGGGGCGATTTTGCCACCACCCCTCCCCCCACCCAGGACATTTGGCAGTGTCTGGAGACATTGCTGTTTGTCACAACTGGAAAAAGGGTGCTACTAGCATTGAGTGGGCAGAGGCAAAGAGAACTGCTAGACCACTTGAAATGCCCAAAAAAGCTCCCACCATGAAGAAGTATCTAGCCCAAAATGTCATGAGTGCCAAAGTTGAGAAACCGTTTTCTAGATCTCACTACTAGCTCACAAAAAATTTGAGGGAGACAGGAACATGATAAATTGCATCATCAGAAAGTCATCAGTGTAATTCATACTATAAGAAAATCCACAGGGCAGATGACTTGGTATCTTCAGCTTACACATTCATGAGGGGGCAGGGCAAGAAAGAAGAACTGTTACAGGTCAAAAGAGACTTAATGTTTGCCAACCAAAAACAGTATATGGATCTTGTTTGGATCCTAATTTGAATAAGATATTTGCAAAAAATCAAGGAAGTTTAAGTTGAGAGGATACATGAAACACAGTTGGCAAAGTGCTGGTAAGAAATCACCAAAACTTAGTGATGCTGAACAGAAACAGGGCATCCAGTAAAAACTAAAGACATCTGAATAAAGCATGGACTTGGTTAATAATATGTATCGAAATTGAGTCCTTGTTTATGACATGTATCACAGGAGTACAATCTGCTAACAGTACATGAAGCTGAACTTTTCTATAGATGGATAACTATTCTAAAATTAGAAGTTTCTAAAATGTTGGATTATAATAGAGTTGTGGGATACAAGTGAGTATTTACTACATAAATAGGCTGCATGCGGGTGAAGAGAAGTTCATTTTAAAAAGGAAAGCAGTTACTTAACAGACTAGTTTATCACCCTTTTTAAGAGGCTTAAATAACATTGGAGAGGTTCTTTAGGATACATTTGCAGTTTCTGATGTTTATTTTCTGACCCAGTTTTTTAAAATGTATGAAATTCTTGTTGCATAAGACTGAGTTTTCATTCGGGGGATCAATCTGGATAAAGAATTTTCTGGTGATGCTTCAGGACAACAGTCTAAGTGTGGAGACAGGTAATTTGAAGAACCAGAATTCCACATCTGTTTTCCCTTTGCAGGACATACATACAAAGGTATTTACATTACAGATTACCATCTAAGTGCTCAGCGTGTGTAAAGGCTTGGCGGAAATGAGTAGATGGACATTTCTTGCCCAGTATCAAGCGGGTGCCTGGCCACAGTGACACAGGGCAATTGCTCCTTTCAAGCTACTGATCTAGAGACATTTGAGCAGGAGATTTTAAGTACACAACACACCACATCACTGTGTGGCCAGTACATTCATACATAGATAAACATTGAATTTAATGGCTTGGATGTGGGAGAAATTGCCAACTACCTGCCCTTTTATAAAGATGTTAGTAAAGATAGATTTACTGAGGATTGTCAAAAAAATTGCTGCATCTCAGATAGAAATGGGCAATATAAGACGCATTAAGGTTAGCCTTTTTAGGTGTAGTCAAGAAGAAAATGTGGTAATTTTTTTAATTCTAGTTATAAAGTCTTAAAGAGAATGTAAGCTATAAAATCTTTAAGAGAATATGCTAATAATTTATAAAATACTTAAATAATAAAACATTTCGATCATTTTAACACATTTTGAAGAAATAAAACATTGTAGGTACAGCTAAAACGTCACTTTCTTTCTTCTTCACCCCTTCCTTCTCAGAGGTAACCTATTGTCCTGATAGTGATCTGTATCGTTTCTAGGCATTCTTAAATAATTTCCATGTGTATGTATAATGTCTGTGTATATAAATAAAACGTGTGTATATATACATTTATATATGTATTAAAAACAATGTATAGTGTTGGTTTTGATGTCTTGACAATTTATTTAAATTGTGTATCAAACAGATCTTTTTGTTTTTCTTTTCATTGATCACTGTTGACATTAGCTTATGGTGCTAAGTGTAGATCTGGTTTTTTGTTGGTTTTTTTTTCTTCCCATTGTAACCACTTTATAACATTCCATTACATGAAAATAAAGCAATCTGTTTTAATATCCTTGTGGAAGAACAGTGGTTGTGATTATGTCCCTTTTTAACTATTCATGGCTATAGAGATCATTCTTGTATGTGTGTCTTTGTGAACATGTACAGGAATATGTTTAGGGTACACATCTAGAGCTAATTTTGTGAAGTTCCAGATGTGTGCCCTTCAGTCTTAATGGATATTGCCAAGTTGCTCTTCTGAGTTTTCACACATATGTACATACATGCAATTTGTGCATTTCCATTTCTACATCTGTGACACATATTAAACTTACCAGAGTCTTCATCTTATCAGATTTATCCTTTTCCAATCTGATGGGTGTGATGCATTTTCCTGATTATTAGTAAGCTAAACATCTTTTCATATGTTTAAATTTATTGACAGTTCTATCAAGAATTGCCTAGATATTGCCTTTAAGTGGACTGGTATTTATTTCTTAAGGTCAGCAGTTATTTTCCTAGGTATTAACCCAAATGGTGAAAAGATTTTTTTGTTTTTGGATTTGTTTTTTTTTTTAGAAAATATAGTTTACTTAGAAAGTAAATGAGAGAGAGAGAGAGAGAGAGGGGAGATTTCACCTCCCCACGGTAGGGGAGGGGGCCAAAGCTTAAGAAAACTTGGCCTGGCCATAGCCAAAGAGCACATGGCCACACCATAGCTTAGCAAAGCAATAGCCAAAAAATTTTATCCACACAAAAACTTGCATATAAATATTCATATCAGCTTTATAATTGCAAAAAACTGGAAGCAACCAAAATCTCTTTCAGTAGGTAAATGAATAAACAAACTGTGTTATAGCCATACTGCGGAATATTACTCAGCAACAGGAATTATCAAGCTATGAAAAGACATGGAAAAACCTTAAATGCAGGTTGCTGTGATTCCAATTATACAACGTTCTGAAGAAGGCAAAATGATGCAGTCAATGAAAAGATGCGTGGTTGCCAGGGATTCAGGGGCAGGAGAAAAAGACGAAAAGGTGGAGCCCAGGGAATTTTAGGGCAGTGAAACTATTGATATGGCATTGTAAAGGTGGATTTATGACATTATACTTTGTCAAAACACATAGGATTGTACGACACAAACAGTGAACCTTAATGAAAACTACAGACTTTCATTAATAATAATGTATCAATATAGATTCATCATTTGTAACAAATATCCCATACTAATGCAAGATGTTAATAACAGGTGGAACTGTGTGCAGGGGAGGAAGCGTATATGAGAATTCTATATACTGTCTGACCAGTTTTTTTCTATAAACCTGAAGGTGCTCTAAGTCTATTAATTTTTTGTAAAAGCACTTCACTGTTAAATTCAGGTTTTACCAAGTATACTCAAATATGTGGAACAGTTCTTTTTTAATTGAACCTTTTTAGAGTATTGTTGCCTGTTTTATTTATGAAATTTGAATGTTGAAGCTCTTTCAAGACTACTACTTCCATTTTCAGTGGGTCTGTAAATAAGTGCAAAGTTCACATTGAAAATCATTTCTTTTTGCTTTCTTAAGAAGTATAGTGGTGCCAGGCATGGTGGCTCAAGCCTGTAGACCCAGCACTTTGGGAGCCCAAGGCAAATGGATTGCCTGAGCCCAGGGGTTCGAGGCCAGCCTGAACAACTTGATGAGACTTCATCTCTACAATATATTAAAAAAATTAGCTGGGCATGATAGTGCACACCTGTAGTTACAGCTACTTGGAAGGTTGAGGCAGAAGGATCGCCTGAGCCCAGCAGGTTGACACTGGTCTGGCTGTGAGCATGCCACTGCACTCCAGCGTGGGTGACGGAGTGAGACTCTGACTCAAAAAGAAAAAAAGTATAGTAGTAAAAGATACCCGCACATGCATGTTTATTGCAGCACTGTTCACAATAGCAAAAACATGGAACCAACCGTGCTGTCCATTGAAATTGGACTGGATTTTTAAAATGTGATACATATGCTCAATGGAATATTACTCAGCCATAAAGAAGAACAAACTTACGAACCTTGCAGCAACTTGGATGGATTTAGAGTCTATAATACTCAGCGATCTATCACAGAAACAAAGAACTGAGTACCATATGTTCTCACTCATAAGTGGACCCTGAACATTTACCATAATACGATAAGAAATGGATTGGCAGTAGCCGGAAACTGCCAAGGAAAGGTGGGAGTACATAACATCAATAAGGGTACCTGATCTCAAACCAGGTGAAGTGGGGGCCAAAGGGAGACCCAAACTTTACCTGTATGATGACCACTTACTTGTATACCTAATCCTGAATTGTACCCCACATCTTTAATTTTTTTAAAAGTAGAATGGTTTAAAGTATTAATTTTCTAAGCTTTCCGTGTGTTTGTGTGCGTGTGTGTGTGTGTGTTTTTAAATACTTTAGAGCAAAGATGTTGTATGTTACTAGATTAGGAATGTTTCCAAATCTTGCAGCAGCTGAAGTAATCTGGAATGCTTGTCTTGATTCTTGTAAACTCTTTATAATATAAATACTTTCTTTCATTGTTTGATTCTAAGACATCCATTCCAGGATTCTCTGAAATCATTATTCCTCTTAGAACCGGTGACATCTTAGATTCAGTGAAATGTGACAACTCTAGTAAGGCCTCAAAAGAAGGAATGTAATAATTGTTACAGAATCATTATAACTTTTTAAATAATGTTATGGGGTCATTCTGATTTTTCTTATACCTGTTTGTCTTTCAGATGCTCTTTGTGTGGGTATGTATGCAGCCATCCTCCTTCTTTGAAGTCTCATATGTGGAAGCATGCTAGTGACCAAAATTACAACTATGAACAAGTAAACAAGGCTATTAACGATGCAATTTCACAAAGTGGCAGGTATTTGATTCTATCCCCTCACCCTTTATTTCTATATATAAATGAAAGCTAGGATTAAATCTACTAGTCCTACATGATAGCCCACTCAAGGTTTGGTGTGTTTTGTTTTGTTTTTAAGAGTTCTGGGGAAATCCCCTGGAAAGACTCTATTAAAGAACAGTGAAGAAAGAGCCGATTCTGTCACTGGAAGTTCAGAAAATTTGGTGTCATCTTCAGAACTGATTTCCCAGGCTCCCAGTGAAGTTATAGGTCCCAACGAGAATGAGAAACTGAGCCCTTCAAGTAATACCTCATATAGTTTAGAAAAAATCTCCAGTCTTGCCCCTCCTGGTATGGAGTATTGCGTTTTACTCTTCTGCTGTTGTATTTGTGGTTTTGAATCAACCAGCAAAGAAAATCTCTTGGATCATATGAAAGAGCATGAGGGTGAAATTGTAAACATCATCCTAAATAAGGACCACAACACAACTCTAAACACAAATTAAATGGAATAATTACTTGAGGAAAACGGTAGAAGAAGATTTCTGTAAACCACGCTTTCACCTTTGCGCTGTCAAATGGTTTAATTGACTAGACACAGAAGAAATGGTGTGATTTTTGAGGAAATGACAGATGTGACTTTGGAACCAAACTTGTCATAAAAGGAATTCCAAGTGGATAAGCAGTAATGATATTTAAATATTTTCTGTGAGGGGAAGTGGGCTGAGAAGGAAGCAGGGTATCATCCTGTATTAACTCTTTGTCACTTCTTCTTAGTGTTGAGTGTATTTATTAATAAAAGCTTATTCTAGTATAGAAATGCAAGCAAGAGAGTTAAGAAAGAACTTTTCAGGAATTATTCCAAAACTTATTGTTAAAAGTATCACAGTCTTAAGCAGAGCTTAGTTTTCCACTTTTGACATGCCAGTTCTAGAACGACAGGCCTCCTGGGAGAAATGGGAGGCAGCTCTCAGAGGGTTTTTTTCCATGTCACCAACAGAGTCAACAAGGAAACAGATAATTACAGGGCTTTGAAATGATCTACCTAAATCCCTAAATTGATAGGAATTAATCATATTTTTAGTCCAGGATATATTCCTTTAACCCCTTAAAAAAGAAAGAAAAGAAGAAAGACCTCTGAATTCAACTCTAGATTGTAAATAGGCACTTCAGAAATAAATTATTGTCTTAAATGTACAGGGAATTTCTTGTGGGCAGTGAAGGAAATAGGTGAATTCCCACCAGATCTCAAGTTCATAGAATTGGTAACTCATTCAAGTGCACTTCTCAGAGTTTCTTTTCAGAGTGTTAGAACATGGCACACTTTCTCCATAGTTACATAGACCTTCTCATAGTCTCTGCTAAATGAGAGCACACTTGTTATCAGAAAGTATGTGTTAAAGCAACAAAGTATGAAAATGTGTATTTAATTATCAGGCCTGGGAAATAGTTTGAACTATTTCCAAAAGTCACTTGGGGGATGAGGGTGGACTTCAGAAGCTCCTTAAAATGAGTAAGGCTATTGAGATTTTCCTTCCTAGAGTTTATTAATTTAGTTACATTCAGCAGAAAAGGACATGTGACTAAAATATGGTAAAAATTCAGGTTGTTTATAAAAATTTTAATAACAAACAGCATTTGGCAAGTCTATAGGAGTTCTCCTATCTAGGAAATTGCATTTTATTAGAGTGTGATAGGACATATAGAAAACCAACTAAAAGTGCTTTAGCATTAAAATTCACCATCAAATAGATGTAATCTCACTAATTACACATTTTGTATTATAATTATTTCAAAGAGTGAAGAAAACAGAGTGTTTTTGTTTTTGCAGTTCTAATTACTTATTTATGCATTATTTTGTTAAAGTAAATTCTGCCTACAAGTCAGAAGGTCAGTGCACTAATCCGTGTACTATTGTTTTCATGGTGCTATTTTTGAATATCTGAATGTTGACTTCTGACATCTCAGTTGAGGCTGTGACTCTGATAAACTTATAATATTGAAAACAGTTTTTTGAATGGGATATTCTCTGTAGGCACATTATAAGAAAGAATTTTATTCCCAAAGTCCAGTATGAATTAAATTAATATTTTTAAAATTATTATTATTAGGAACTATTTAAGTGGGGCCAGGCATATTGAAACATTGTCTGATTTGTTGTTTTAATCTCATTTTGATGATGATATTTAAACAAACATAATTGATTGTAACTGCAGCTTTTTAAGTAGCTTTAATTTATTTATGAAAGTTAATCCATTTCTGATATGTGGCTTTTGAAAAGATAAAATGAATTTATATATACTAAATTATATTCTCCATATCCACTGTATGTGGACTTGTATTCATTTTCTCCCATTTTCAGAATTGAAACATTTATTTTTAACTTCAAATTCAAATAAAGTATTTTCAATGGTTTCATTATTATTACTCATTGTTGCCACTGATATTGTAGGTCAGTTGCTAGTTACTGTGACTCAGTGTTTCTTTATAAAAATCTGTTATCTTACAAATTAATAACCTGGAAGAATTATGTTTTATAATTTTTAAAAATTTTTCCCTTGGCTTTAATTTTATGTAACATTTGGAAAATATTAATGACCAAAAAATCCCCCAAATGTACGGTGAATTTTTAAATTACCTTTCTTCATTTCCTTAAACCACATCCATTGATTGTACTTAAATTTTCCATTTGGAATCATGAATTAAAAATTTTCCCAGCTCATGGGGTAAAATTAACCCAGAAGTTCAAAGCTGTTAAACTTCTGATTCTGGCTTAGACTATCCTCAAATCTTTCTCCTGTCATATCGGATATCAAGGGTATTCCGTACCTTCCCATTATCATTTTGTGGCAAGCCTTGAGTTAACAGTGTCTCTACCAAGAACAATTGAACTTTCTAAAAGTAATAATGAAGATTAAATATGCAGTTAAAATTGTAGAAGAGATAGCTATTAAAATCAGTAGGAATAACATTTTATTTATTGGTGTTAGACCTTTTGTCATACAAAGCTCGTAGTATTTGTTTTCTGCTCTGAACACTTAAAATTCTAAGATTGGATAGTGAAAATTGTTTTTACAAGAAACTTACTGGATATGGCAAAAGTGGAGAGGGGAATGATGATGCATTCTGCTCATTATAAATAATACTTTTCAGGGCTCTATCATTTTCTCCATTTCTTTAATAATCCAGAATATGATAGGGATCTCCAGTGTTCCAGTGGTACCATGCTAATATTCCATTTGATCTGTAGACTGCGTTCTGTGGCCAGACAGTGCAATGTAGTGACAGATTGAAGCCTTTGTTCTATGTCTTTCATTCTATTTAAGGTAGCCATTGGTGGTGGCTTCGTAATTATTTTCTGTTTTTTCTCACAAAGCAGGTGATGGGCATCCATGTTTACATTGTATCTTCCCGCAGTGTAATTGGCTTGACCAAGACAAGCAGGCTTCTCTATTGAGACTTATTGTATTTTTAGTTTTCACAGACGTATTTAATCTTTTTTATTGTACAGCAAGGTGCTCTAAGTAATATTCGATAAGATATATTTAATAGAAATTTGAGTTTGATATTCATGGATATGAATACATGTATTTTTTTAAGAAATAAGTATTGTGTAACACTATGGCATTGCTTCTATAGCCAAAGTATAAAAATTTCTGGAATACAGACATGTAAAGACTACAGTTAATTCTGACACTGTACCTTATTAAAATAGGATGATTTGCATTTTGTAAAATTATCCTGCACATTGAGCTGCATGCCTTAAAGCTGAAACTCTAGGATTGTGTTCATGGTAGAACAGTTTATCTGTTCAGAACAGTGAAGCAAGGTCTATAGCGCTTCTTCAACTACCTTTGGAAATACTGTACAATGTTAGAATAATTTATTTTGCTTTACAGGAGTTTGTCATGTATTGACTTTAATATTGTATTTTGGTAATAAATTTTTTGTTAAAAAAAAAACTTGCCTCTAAGTTTTATTAACAACAGGTTATGTCCATTCTTATCTTGGAAATGTTGACTTTATTACTTAGAAAGTGGTATTTAAATAATTAAAAGCTTCCCAAGGGTTAAACTGAGGCTTATAACTCTTTGTTGACTTGTTAAACTATTGCTGTGTAGCATTAAGCTGTGTTACACAGAAAGAATTGAAAAAACATTTTGCTTTTTTAATGATTTTTACATTTGAGTCTAATTTTTATTTCTTTACTTAATTTTTTTTGAGTTGGAGTCTCACTCTGTTGCCCAGGCTGGAGGGCAGTGGCACGTTCGGGGCACCGCAGCCTCGACCTGCTGGGTTTAGGTGATCCTTCTGCCTCAGCCTTCCAAGTACCTGGAACTACAGGTGCGTGCTAGCACACCCAGTTGTTTTTTTTTTAATTTATTGTAGAGATGAGGTCTCACCAAGTTGCCCAGGCTGGTCTCGAATCCCTGGGCTCAGGCAATCCTCTCGCCTCTGCCTCCCAAAGTGCAGGGATAACAGACTGAGCCACCGCACCTAGCGTTCTCTCTAATCTTTAAACTTCTTTCCTTGCTACACAGTTCATTTTTTCTTCCAAATCACATACTTACATGCTTTCAGTTCTGATGTAGTCCAAGTGCTAAAGACTAGTTCTGCAAAGTCAGAGATTGCCATCATGTGTTCACACCTGGATCATTTTGTGGTCTATAAAATATCTTTTGACATCAGATCTTTATATTGGCAAATGAAGCTACCATCATCTGATGTTAGCCACCTGGGCCACTGCAGCTTTAAGTGACTGAGAGGCCAAATATTTCTTCCCAATAACTATAGTTCCTTGTCCTAAGCTCCCCAGGGACAATATAATCACATCCCCTATCTTTCAAGTACCAAATCTCAAACTGTCTCACTAGACTCGTAAGTTGTAGAAATCCTAGCTTGGAAGGTCTAGAACATGTGGTCCATTTTGGTAGCCACTAGTCACATATGGCTATTCAGCACCTAAAATATGTTTAATATGCTTTTAAGTGTAAAATACAGAACAGTTTTGAAGACTTAGTACAAAAAGATATGTAAAGTATCTTTTTTTTCTGAGTCAGAGTCTCGCTGCAACCCAGGCTAAAGTGCAGTGGCACACTCATGGCCACCACAGCCATAACCTCCTGGGCTTAGACAATCCTTCCACCTCAGCCTTCCAAGTAGCTGGAACCATGGGTGTGCGCCTCCATGCCCAGCTAATATTTTGATTTACTGTGGAAACAAGGTCTCGCCAAGTTGCCCACCCTAGTCTCAAACCCCTGGATTCAGGCAGTCCTCTGGCCTCTACCTTCTAAAGTGCTGGGATTACAGGCGTGAGCCACCACACCCAGCTAAAGTATTTTATTAATAGTTTTTCATATTGATTACATGTTGAGATAATATTTTTGGATATATTGGGTTAAATAATTAAAATTAATTTCACCTGTATTTTTAAATATAGCTAAGAGAACATTTTTAATTTAGTGATTTACATTTTATTCCTGTTAGTGCTGGTATAGAAGAGTGATTAGCAAACTACGGCCCTCACTTCAAATCCAGCCACCTGTTTTGGTAAATACAGTTTTATTGGAGCACAGCCATGGCCATTTGTTTTATGCATCATACGTGTCTATTTTCAAGGTACAACAGCAGCATTCATTGTGACAGAGACTGTATAGCCCACAAAGCCCAAATTATTTA